GTTGGTTTAGTCCGCTGTCTGACAAGACAATTCGTCAATTTTGCTTTTTTTTGATAAAAAAAGGAAGAGATATCATTAAACAAAATACTTGTACATCATCTAGTACTGGGGACTACAAACTCCATGACATCTAAAACACAATGGTTTAACCTTCCAGAGACACTGAGAAAGAATAGTAAAATTCTGGTGAAGATTATGTCTCATTCTTGCCAGTTGGTCACCAACCATATTAGCTTGACGAATTGTGTGGATGACCATTGCATGGGGAATAAACTGAAGGATGTCCGTATAATCCAAAAGCAACGAGGCTAAGACCGTCAGTAGTAGTGGTTGATTTGGTCAACAATTGAGAAGCAATAGAAGAATCAGTCTCGACAATAATACAAGTAAACTGGAAATCGACTATAAGCTTGAGGCCATCTCTCAAAGCCCACAATTTCAAAGGAAGACTGTCCGGAGTTCAAATTCTTCAAGCAAACCCAAGTATCCAATTACCTAGACAATTTGTCAATTTACTAACGCCCAAATATAATACTGCTCTCATATGGGCTGGACCTTATTTCACTAACTAACTAATAACGATAAAATGGCCCATAAAAAGCCTCAGTTTCTCCCTTCCTCTTCCGATTGAACCAGGAAAACTCTAATCGGTGCGGTCACCGGAGTTCTTTCCTTCACTCTCCTCACCGAATCCCCTGTCCGAGCAAATGCTGCAGCTGCCTCCGCCTCATTCGAATAATCCGCCGGGAAGTTGTACGGAAGAAGAACTGGAACTAGAGCAAGAAAGAGCGGAAATCAAAGCCTGAATTCGTCCCTAATGAAAGAATCATGCAGGAAGTTTTGCAGATCTCCAATGACTGCATTTTTTTTTTTGCAGGTCTCCTCAATCCTGTCAGGTTTAGGTCTTGGATATAATGTTTTCATTTATGTTTTTAAATAGAATTTCAACTTTCTGTGATAATTTACAAGGTTATTGTGTTAGCATCAAAACATGAAGAGTTTATTTCTAGAGCTTCAATTCAGAGGAAGAACAAAGCTCATGATATAATCAGAAGAATGCTGGTGATTGCTTCAGCTCTCCGGAGTAGGTAATTGTTTACTCTTCCATGTTGTACAGTTTTTTGTATATCAAGGAGATTTGAGTCATGAATGTAAGTTGTTTGACTTTAGATTTACTCAATGATTAATATTAGTTGGAAAAGATTGAATTTTGCAAGAATCACTTTGCATTTTATAATGAATTGCACTTGATTTACTGGAGATTGAGTGATAATATTATTTCCAGAGAACTCTTCTTCTTTTTCTTCTTTTCTGGATGGGTTTAATGGCCATATATGATCTGAAAAAGCACATATCCCTACTGTACTTTTAAAGATGTCACCATGAGGCCCACAATTCCTCGGATGCAGGTTTCACTGAACATGACAACTGCTAGTGCACGCGAGTGATATTGTTAGTAGCTTGGTTGAGCAAATGTCTATGATTGTATTTGTCTTTTCAAAATTGCAGTCTTGAAAATTTTGTTTTCATTCCATGTTGCTTCTGATTATAGAGCTGTTCTTGTTGGACAAAAGAACTTGTATATGATAAATTTTTTCTATAGTTTCCTCATTGGTATGTCAGTGTTGCTTTGGTTCATTCATTCCCATTGAATTGCTGTGTCTTGGAAGCTTTCTGTGCTTGGTATCATTGATGATCATGTTTCTGCTTTTCTGTTTACATATGTTAGGACTTCAGGTTACAGATGTTGAGTTGATTGACTGCCTTGGAGAGATTCTTGTTAGAATCGAGACCTATCAAGCCTAGTCGTATGAATCTGATGCTACCTTTTTCCTCCCTCCAGGCAGGGACTAATTCAAACCGTCTTCAAACTCTGATATTGAATGTGGTGTTGCTGTTACTCTAGGAAATTATGTAACACCAAATCACATGTATACAAAATGGCAATGGAATTGAGCCTGATTACAGAAACATCTCAGGTAGTTATTTTCTTCAGTGTCTGTGAATGGACAAATGTCTATAAGACTAACAAAAGAAATTTATCATAGAGAGGATAACAATTAATGGAAGAGATTTTATTATAGAGAAGTTAACTTGAAAATCCTACGAATAAAGTTGGCTCATAAGGCTGCATTTTGAAACCCTGACACCAACTGGACTCTAGAACTTTTAGAACATCTAAATCAGTTAAACTTGGGCATATTTGTGCAGCTTTAAGTCATGTCGCCCAACTGCCTTTCACATTGCAACTTGCCCCCGACAAGATTAGATTAACGTACAAGGTTTGCTTGTGAAGCACTTTGCTGCTCTGAGAAAACTTATTGTAGAACTTGTCAATTCATATTTGCCTCAACTCTCAAGTATAAAGATTGGAACTTTAGAGCTGAAGTCGTTGAAGCTTCCTCGGAAATTCTTTCCCTAGTATGGGTTGGATATAATGAAGTTTTTTTGTTTTCCCTGTAGTATGTAATTTGTTGAAGTATTAATTCAAAGCAAATAAAGCTCCTTAAGTTAAAGTTTACACAACTGGGATTTGTAATCCTTACGTATTAAGGAATTCTAGAACACAGCTTGTATCTTATTTATATTGATAAATAGAGACATACATTTAGCACTTGTTTTCTTTTAAGCAAAAAATTTATCGTTGATTTATAACTGTGCATTCATCTCTCGTGATAGTGATAATAACGACAAAACAAAATTTTAAGTTGACTTGCAACAAATAAAAAAAAAAAAAACAAAACAAAACAAAAGGTAAGAACGTTTATGAAATAAATTGTACATTCATTTTGGAAAATGGAGGGATTCAAATATGGGAATTGCCAAGATCTTTAATTTGTCTATTTACTAGATGCCCGTTATGTTATGTTCTGCCTAGAGTTTGAAACAACTTCAAGCTAAACGAAACAACATTCATCTTTTAAGAGATATTGCAATAGTTAAAAGTTTATATCTTTATATTATAGATATTAAGTTTAAACCTTAAAGCAAAAGAAAGATGTTTGGAAAAACAAGACACTATCCTTTAATATACATAAAAAAGTGAGAGGCCTATTCAGGATTAGATCTTGAGCCTATTATAAGAACAAGGAATCTTGATTTTCACTTTAGACAATTTGAATCTATACCTAAAAAACAGGTCCATGTACTAACCATTTTGTACTACATTCCTTCAGCTTCACCAAACCCAATAATCTCCCTCCCATCCCTTTAACTTTTGATCCAATCCCACGAACAGTACAAAAGGAAGCCAAAAAGAGAGAGAAAAATGCCACAACATCAACACTTTCAAATTAACTACCAATAAATAACTAGATTTAAATTCCCCAACACTACTCCTTAAACCTTTTCCCTCCCCCTGTACTTTTTTCCTCTTTTTGCACCTTCCCTTGCTTCCCAGTTCCAACAACCAAATGCCTCCTCTCTCAAGTTTTCTCATATTCCCCCCTCTCTCTCTGATCCAAGGAAGCTTTGATTCTCCTGATTTTATTGATATAACCAGCGCCAAGATGATATATACTCTTCTTTGCAACAAAACCATTGGTGCTTCGCTTAGCTTCTGCATCATTGTTCTTGTTCAACAAGAAAATCAAGGCATATTTTATAGAAGCAGATTTGGAAGACATGAATTCTTCCAGAGTTCTTCAGTTTCTCACAATCTTTCTCTTCCATCTTTTCCTCTCTTCAGGTGATTATTGCGTTGTCTATATTATTTGGATCTTTGTTTCTTTACATCCTGTATGTTATGCCAAATCTTGTTTGGTTGTTTTTTTTTTTTTTTCTCTCATTTCTCTTCTCACCAAATAAATTCATATACTATGCCATGTTAGTTTCTGGAGAAAATTCCATCCAAGCAATTGACATGGCAGTATATTGAACTCCAAGGGGAACCCAGTTGCATTCTGATTCTCCCCTCCTTTTTCCCCTACTCTAATGGTTCTCATCTAAAAGCCATTTTTTGTTGTGAGCTACATGAGTAACATCTCATCCTTTTATCAAGATGTCCTCTAGATTTATAACTCAAAGTCAGAACCTTGTTACTGCCTAATTGTCTCAAACTCTTCTTTAGTGTTCACCTCTCTTTAGTTGTATAATAACAAGTACGCATGCCTCTTTTTTCTTTTTTTTTTTGTCAATCTTTAGGTGTGTTTAGTTTGGCTAATAATTAGAGCTTATAGTTAAACTACTTGATAGGGTGTTTTGAAAAATATTTAATAAATTGATTTCAAATACAATTGAGTAATGGATATCAACTTTTCTATCCTATTAGTTAACAATTACAGTTATCAATTGTTTTTAGCAATTAAACCAGACAAAGTTTTATCATTTTTATTAAATAATGACTTCTTAACAAATTTTTCTGGGGATCTTTGATATGCTTGAGAGGTAGAGAAGAGGTGATTTGAACTTGGACCATTCCCTCCTAAAGAAGAAGCATCTTTTTTTTTTTTTTGGGGTCGGCAAGAAGAAGCATTTTTAGTTCCTTCTTCATTAGTTATTTTGTTCTTAGCTTGTTTTGTAAATTTTACATCCTTGACTTTCGCATGATACCGTGTCAGCAATTCAATCAGAGCAATTCCTTTTTCATTTTCCTCCATCTTAAAGAAAAAAGTGAGCACTTACCTTGTTTTTGGTTTCTTCAGGTTCAAGTGTTTCAGAGAAACCTCCTCCTCAAGGGATCCAGAAAAAGGAAAAAGGAAAAGTTCAAGAATTCCGGATTCTATATTCACCTTCACTGTCCACTCCTATCCTAGATGATGTTCCTGTTATCAACCCAACAACTCCAGGTACTACGACTCCTATTGTAAGCCCGCCAACCATGACTACCCCGATTACAACCCCGACTACAACCCCGACCACAACCCCAACAACCATCCCAACTACAACCCCAACCACCACGCCAATTACCACCCCTACATCATCAGGGGGTGCTTGGTGCATTGCAAGTCCATCTGCTTCACCAACTGCACTACAAGTAGCTCTAGACTATGCTTGTGGATATGGTGGTGCAGACTGTTCAGCAATTCAACAGGCTGGAACTTGTTACAACCCGAATTCTGTTAAAGATCATGCTTCTTATGCTTTCAATGACTACTACCAGAAGCATCCAGCCCCCACTAGTTGTGTTTTTGGAGGAGCAGCACAACTTAGTAACACTGACCCAAGTAAGACCTGTTCATGAAAAAGTATATGATTATGTCCGTTGCAATCTAAAGTACAATACTATGATTCAAATCAATCTGTTCTATACTTTTCTCTATGTTTCCAGGTAACGGAAACTGTCGCTATGCATCAACCTCAACAACAAGGTAATCTTTCTCAACGACATCTCATGCCATATCTTACAGCAAGAAGTTAAAAGAAAAGATGGAAAAACTTACTTTTTCTGTTAACATGTGAATACAGCATAAGTCCACCAGCAATGACCATGACTCCACCAGTGACCATGAGCCCACCGGTGACAACTACTCCATCTACAACCATACCTGGTGGATCTTCTGTTTATGGTTCAGCAGAACCAACAGGGCTTCCTAACTCAGCCACCTCTGTATCATGCACCCTTTGGCTGCTCATTGCCACACTTGTTCTCGTGGGATCACTTAATGCAGCAAACTACATGTAGGTGACAGTGTAAGCCATTAAGATCCTCTTGGCAATGGGACTATGATCGCCTTGCTTGCTGGGGAAAATTTACACGCTTAAAGCAAGCACTGAGATTCAAAAATGGGGTGTCATCTCAAAGGTCTCTTATTCGTCATAAGATTATTACTAGCCGTATCCTTTCATCTATGTAGGTAAATTAGTTGAGGTGTCAGGCAGGAAACGAAGAAGAGAACAGAATCTTCTAGGGTTTTGTATCTGTAGAATTCTTATGATAATTACTCTCAGATATGTTAGCAAAATAAATTATCAGAGAAACTTTCTAGCTCTAGGAATCATTTTTCCCAGTAAGAAAAAACTCAGACGCTAGAACATAATCGAACTTTTTGCTGTCTGAATCTATTTGCGTAAAGAAAAGGCAATAACATTTTTTTATCACATACTAAATCTAAGGACAACATAGAGAAAGAAAGATTGAAAAATACAAAAACTGCCCTTTTTTTCCTCAACTAATTCATTTAATTAATCAAGAACTTATCAACAAGAGAACAACAAAAGCTGTGAGAATTATGAGATTCTCTTATTTTGTCTGTCTCCACTTGCATTCGATAATTTACAGATGATAAACATAAAATTGAGACTACTGATTTTTCATGGTATTCAGATCAAAAGAAAGAGTGAAACTGCAGTGATACAAATGATAGCTATGGTTGGAATAATTGAAACTTCGTCAAATGCATTTTGCAAGCTGCCTGCTCCTGAGAAATGCTGGAAAGCTAAAAAGGCAGCAATAACCATGGAAATAATGGCGCCTGGCTGTATTTCCCTGCCACCAGAGAAAAACCAATGAAATAGCATATACTAAAAAAGCAGAATATATACTAAATCAATGAAACTAATTCATCCATTAACCTTAAATTCATAACCTGATGAGGTGCCACAATTACCAAAAGTAATGCTAGAAATGGTAACTCAAGTTCACCTAGAAGCAAAATATACCATTTAAAACACCAGGATTAGTTTTTCAATGCTAAACACATAGAAAAGAAAAATTTTATCAGAGTCATGGTTAAGAGTACAGTCCAGGCAGAGATTTTTGAAAGAGAAGAGTTCTGTTGATTACTCTAGAAAAAGGGTGCTAAAGCAATCATCTTTTCTCCTAGATGCATGCTGACTCCAATTCCCATCTCTAGATCTTTCTTTTTAATCTTCAATTCAGCAAACTTCATTTAGTGATAATCTTTCCCCATACCAACAGATCGTGACAGATTTTTTACTAACTCAACCCAAGAAAGCCATCAATTGGGTTTAACTACACAAATAATTTTCCCATACTCTTATCTGTTCGATGACTAATGTTATAATGACACAATTTTTGGTTATTAGAAAAACATAATAATTCATCAAAAATTAAAGAAGAGTAGTTAAGTGCCTCCTCATGCATAACTTAAAGGAGGTTGCTGAAGGCCAGCAATCCAATTCAGAGCCCATGTAAACTTTAAAATTTTCAAGATCTGATAAGGACAAGATCAAAGCAAAAAGAGAAAACTACAACTTTGTAACTTTACTTGCCCAAAAGAAGCTGCATGGGGATGCTTATAAATACCAAAGAAAAAGGAATCCAGAAGGTCTTATTTCGTAATAGAACCTACCAGGAAAATGGAAGAAGAGTCGAACAATAAGTGCTAAGAAAGCAGACCAGAGACCATATTCCCCCCTGCAAAAAAACTTATTTGAGTTTACCAAGACAGAAATTAAATTACAAGAAACAATGGAAGGAAAAAGAGATGAGCAAATAGTAATCTTTTGAGAGGCTTACTTAATCCAAGAAGTAATGCAAACTGGTGCCTGTAGGACAAACAGCGGAACAAGAAAGGACTTGTGAATTCCAGTGCCTCTCACAATCATTAAAACCCTATAAGAATCAGGCCCTTCACTGTCAATTTACATAAGTTCTAAAGAAATACCAAATTTGAGTTGTCATATAAATATAGCATTTACTCTATATATATATATATATATATATGCATAAACAAACTCTACTAACAGAAAACCTTAATTTCTAATATCAAATTTTTTTTGAAACAAGGTAGAAGGTACAGGA